ACCTTCTGGCTCACCCTATGATGGGGATGAAGTCTGGAGGAGTTTCCTCCTGTGAACCCCCTTTATACCAAAACGCTGCCAATACGCCATTATACAGTAGCTGGAAGTTAGAAACACGTTCAGCGCTCGTCTGGAACACGTCAGATACGCTGATATGCGCTGGAGAGAAGTTCTGGATAAGTTACTCAGAGGTTAAGGATCAGCTAGACGCCACGACTGATGAGGAACTGACACTGAACGGATGTCAGCCATCAGATAACTGACCTGGAACTGATGGACCACGCTGGGATACTTGCCGTATGTTGTCGTGTGCCAGCGTGCCAACATCTGGCACACACTACTCTAAATCGTCAAGGTGTGACAGGGGCTTAAGTTATGTGTAATAACGTAGAATGGCAAAGGGAAGAAGTATTGAACACCCGTAGAAAGGAAGGTGCAAAAAGGCATGAAAAGCAAAGACACCAGCTGAAATCTCTCAGTAATCAGAAAGCAATCCTGCTTCTTATCAGCATTTGGTTCCGTCCCAAATGATGGCCGATAAAAACCTGAACATCTATGGTTTAATTTCTATGTAAGTGTGGATTACAATGATTGTTACCGACATCCAGTGAAAATATCATGTTAATAGAACCTCTAGAAATAGATTTACTGAGAAAAATATCAGCATCTTCAATACTTATTTCTACATATATACTTATTTGAAGCATAATATGAAGCAGTTTTATTTTTCTGACAGGATCAATCCTCTCATTGGTTTATTTCTGTATCTTTTCCCATCTTTCATGTTTTCCAAACGTAACCCTGGATAAATAAAACTATGTTTTAAATTTCTAACAGGAGGAATTACCTTAAAGTATATTTTTGATGCATGTTGATCTTAAAACTCAGTCCTCAATATAAATCATCTATAGATAATAAAACTTTCATTGTTTTATCTGATTTAATATACGAGAATGAACATTTTTACCTACAATCATTATCAAGCTTCCATAATATATTTTCTTATTTTAATGAAAGTGCAGATCTGATCTTTGCAGTCTCACCTAAATATGTGATGTTTTCAGCCAGTTCAGATCCATCAGAGTTAGGGAAGTTCTTCGCCGTCTCCTGACTCGCTGCTCCCAGTATGTAAGTGTGGATCGGAGCTGGAAAAAGGAAACAGAAGTTAAAAATTCACTGAATAAACTCAAAGCGTCCAGAAAAGGTTCAATCATCATGAAGGTCTGTTGCAAACCAAACCGATTTAACTGTATTAAATATTAATCATGCAAGAGGCTGGTTTCCTAAATAAACAGACGTTCTACTTTCTGCAAATTAAAACATAAAGGCTTTAAGGTATAAAAGATTCAATCAGGGTGAAAACAGCCTCTTTAACTGCATTAAGCTAAGCTTGATAGATTTATAAGAGAAATGATGAGACAAGGGAAACATCCCAACAACCAAATAATCCCAAAGCTTCAGGCTGATGAAGCACGATTCCTTTTCTGCTCAACAAAGTGAAAAGTTTCAGAGCTCATCACAGCGAAACACGGAAGTGGCAGCATCATGATCCCATTTCAGCTCATACTTCCTTTTTTCTTTGTTATATTATTTTCTTTTTTTTCTTTAAGGTTGGAATTTCCTCATTCCAAGTAAGATAAATGTAGAGGATCTAAATCATGAGTCACAAATAAGGAAGGAAATGTTTGGGAAAATATTAATGAATGTCTGTCAGTCACAACAATGTTTTATTAGATTTATGTTTGAATGTGATGCAGTTTACTTTAAAATCTCTCAGTTAATTTTCAGAATATCTAAAATCGACAGTCAAAATGTCTGATTTGGAATACCAGTACCTCTATTTTTCAGCATCATATCACAAAGAACGCTTCCTAAGAGTAACCCGTTACTTTTTTCAAACCTGAATTGAAAAATAAAAATCGACAAACAGCAGAAGAATGATCCTAAACCTGAACTGAAAGGTTCAAACCAATCAATCAACAGGTAGAACGCTGATTAAACCTGATTGTTGCAGCTTTTTCCCACTTTAAACTTTCGTTAGGATCTCCATTTATTCAGTGGATTGCTGATTGCCTGTTGGTAGTACGGGGTTAAAGTGAAACCCCCGGCCGCCATATTGGTACTCCCTAGTTAGACCGGTCTAACAACCATGATGTTCTTATCTTCAGGGGGACTTTAGACTTTTAAAATAAAGATAAATTCATCACTTTGATAAAGACTGGCTGTTTCACAGCATCAGTAGATTAACTTTAACTTAGGATAAAAAAAATATGCCCATCGCATTGAATAGTCATTATGAAGTCTATAAATCATGTAATATAACATATTATACAAACCATCACAATAAAATTTATGTGTTAATGGAGCAGAATAATACAGATGATTATGCACATGTAATAAACATGTATTTATTACGTTGTTATGGTAATTACATTAAGAAAGGAAATTAAAAACAATCCAGTGGACTTTGTTTCCAAGTTTGAAGACGTTTTTCAATTCAAAATGTCAGAAATAGCGTTTAGTTCCAGGGTTTATCCAGCAGCCCAACAAAGCCTGGTTTTAGTTTAGAAAACATGCAAATAGAAACGGATGAACGGGTCCCCCCCTTTGGAAT